CTCCCCATATGTAGTTTTAAAAGACTTCAACCCCCTAAACTATTTAAATGTAACTATACTCCACAATATAGATATTGTTTGAATTGATTAATTTGTTTTGGAGACAATTCACCATGGAAGTTTGTCCCAAACTATAACAATTTGGACCAAAATGGTTTGAAGAATCTTTTCTGATGCTGTGGCTGTCCAGCTGAAGGGACCTGCTTACACAAGCTAATGGGATTATGTTATTTGCCGCGTTTTTACTCGATTTACATAAAAGTGAAGATACTTGTGTGTCTGCATCCATGCATATTGAGGGTCACGTCAACATCTCATTTATGTAATGGCTCCACATTACACACCGTGACATGACTGACGGCTTGAAATTACATCACTAGCATTTAAATTGTCCGTGCCTTCTCTCTGCAAAGTAATGCATGCTAAGTGATGCAGATTCCACCAACAAGCCATTTTATACACTCATCCACAGCATCTTTACTCCACCTTTCTCAAACGCACACATGCACACTTTAATCCTCACACCCTTTGTGTTCCCTTTTACTATCCTCACAACCTCTGCCGGTGCCTATGACATCCAATTGGCATAATTGAGCCGGGTCAGATAATAAAGAGACCCATAACAATCGATGGAGGTGGAATAAAAAACAGCTTCCAATTATTACTTCTGTCCTCTCTGTTCCTGTCACCACCTTTCCTTGCACGCGGCAGTTTTAACAGACTGGAACTGCGGGATTTTATTTGAGGAGAAACTCTGACGTGTGAGAGGGAATTAGTGGTGGAGGGAGCCGGAGAGGAGGAGGTCCGGTGGTATCCGAGCTAAGACAGATGCCATTTGACAGGTCGCCACTCTTCTCATCAGCGTGACACAGCTGCCGCAGCCCTATTTCAGGAAAATTAAACAGCCTTACGGTAAACTGGCCGGCCGGGGAGGAGGGGCTGCGGGGGGGGGGTGAGGGGGGGTGGGGCGAGCGGTGCGTCTGTGAAAATGAAGGAGCTCAAAGTATGCAGATAGGCTTTTTTTTCCCTTCTCTCCTCCCCCCAACTTGTTCCCCTCCTTCAAGCACTATCCTCGCCTTTTGACATGATAATGGCTGCAAATTGATGAAGACACTTCACTCATTCAGTGACAAGTCTACCAGCAAGGGACATAAATGCCTCCTCCACGCCTCCCTATCCATCACCCCGCGAGGCCCTCCCTTCCGCCCGCCCGGCATAGAAGGGGTGGGAACCTGTTTAATCAGCTAATTTGCTCTCCTCTGGCCACCTTTAATGACCGTGCCACCTCCGGATTATCTTGTCATCTCATCCACTTAATCAGCGCTGATGAACTGTTCATTAAACTATTAGCCCCTCTTACGTTTTGCCACGCAAAGGTTACAGGCCTGTAATTAAAACTAATCTGTTAGGTGACATCTCTCTCTTTAAATGGTCAAATAAAGACCATAATCCTAGCGTTTTATTTAAAGGAAAAATATATCTAATTTGCTAACATATAAAGAAAGCCGATAAAACAGTTGTCCTTACAATTTAAGGACGAAGTGATTAAGGTGTTTTGTAGTGGCTGAACATTGTGCGAATTCTCTTCATAATCAACAAACTTCGAGACAGGGATTCAATAAAACACGCAAGGCAAAAACCAGGACACAATTCTGAGGTGAATACAGAGGAACCAGTTAAATATGCTGATTTAGAGTCAGTTAAAGTCAATACTGCTGATCAATGACGGGACCAGAGACACTACAGTCCACTTCTGACAGGATTTCATCGATATAATAGCAAGTGTTTCTCCACTCATGACAGCTCTCCAGTTATGAAGGCTATTGTCCTTTAAAAAATTGTTTTTACACCACTATGGTACTTTACGTTATAAATAACACCACCAGTGAGTAGGGTCCAGCACCCTAAGAATGGAAGCAGGGGTCAGAAGACGATACAGAGAATGCTTTTACGTCATTTGGCCATTTTATGTGAGAGTGTCATAACATATAATGACTTAACCACCCTAACTCCCTTTAGGCGCCCCGGAACATTGTCAATGGGTCCGGTCCCTTGTGGAGCGGGTTAAAGCTTCTCTGAATCGGGATTGGCCGAGTACGCTTACCTCACTGATCACGTTCTGTTTTAAGAAGTCCTATAGTGAAAGCGTCAGGTTGACAGAAAACATTCATTTAGATATGTGCCTTTGCTGGTTTCATTTTCAAGCAAAATCAAAAAATTAAGAGCAGTGAGGAAATGGCTTTTACTTCCTCTTTATATAATGCATTCTTATATGTAATAGGTTACTTTTTCAGCATCCCTTAACTGAGTAATATTTGGATGAGTACAGTCTGCATCAGTTTAAGGAAGAAGTCTCTCTTCTAAGACCTACAGCTCTTTCTCCGTTGGTAGTTTAAGTCCCTTTCTTGCTTCTTCAGCAGGACTGTACACCAACAAAGGGTTGTGATACCTTTATAACATCCAACCTGTTCTGACCTTATATGGCAAATAAAAACTATCGATCCTCGCTCCACAACACCTACTTTAAAAGACTTATTGTGGAGCTCCATTTCATCTAATCACTTGGCAAAAGAGTCAAGCGTCTAAATAAAGAGAGACTAAATAAAAAAGTCTCAGGGCCAACGTGTTGCTCTCACCTTTGCAGATGAAATTACCCGAAAAGCTGTTACAAATCAATATAATCAATGCAATCAGCTAACTGACACAGGCAATCTCCTGCCAGTAAGTAAAAATACCCCCAGCGGAGAACTTTCAATCTCTGGTGCCATAATTGCCCCCGAGGGCAACGTTAGGGTGTAGCATTTTGTACACTTAATTAAATTAGCGAGCTCTGTGGACCGGGCGGGTGGCTGAATTCACAGAGAACCAACAGCCCTGGCCGTGGGCCAGTAATTAAGGCAATACCTTTCTTGATTACGCCAATCCTCCTTAATGAAGTCATTATGCATTTTAACCCAAACACTCCCATGAATTAATGGGCACACAGAAAGCTCCTGGATGGAAAGAACGCTCCAATCACAAGTAGAAGTCATAACTTATCCACTCAACGGGGTAGACGTAACGTCCATATTTCTCCCTCTTTCAGCCGCAGCCAAGGCTAATTTGGACTTGAGTGACAGTGAAAGTTCTGAGTCTGTGCACATAAAGCTTTAACGAAATAAAAACCCCTGCCTGGCAAGTGACAACGCAAACTTACTGGACAACTTTACAAGTTCTCCCCGGGCTCGTCCTGCAAAGATGAGGCAACATCCACGCACACACACACACACCCTCATGGGTCCCAAACCAGTGCGAATTGATTTAAAGAGACCAGGGGGCACTGCAGACTGGGAGCAGCTCCACGCTGACCCATAATGCCTTGCTAATTAAATAATTCAGTAATTGATTCATAGCCAAATCAATAAAGCCCGTGCATGGTTTATGGTGTGAGAGCTAGAGTGTATTTGCATTTGAAGACGGGGCCTGGGCTACGAATAAAAACACACTCGCACACACCCGGACATACATAAGATCCAAACCAGCCCCGCTCCTTCCAGAAGTGCGTGAAACCGGAGCTAAAATGTGGGAAAAAGCTGAGTTTACCTTGCATGTATTGGATGACGTCATTCAGCCCCTCACACACGGATGATTGTGAAAACAAAAGGTGAGACCAGAGTGTGTGTATCTGTGCATGTCGGCCCATAAACACAGCTCTGTCCCATACCCAGTCCCAGGGGAGTCTGGGACTGGTAGGTGGACCTAGGAGAGAAATCAGATGGGATATTATTATTTCCAAGTGTAATGACTTATTTGGGTGTCTGTGCACTAAAGGGCGGATGCATTGTAAATATGTGGCAGGTTGTGCGTGTTTATGGCCGGTCATATATGTGCGCTTGTGCCTGGAAAGGTAAGAATTACCACTGGAAGTGATTGCGGCTGCAGTGACGTATAACATCTCTCTGATCTGAGAGGATGTGAGGGTTATAAATCCTGCTACATGAGGCAGTTTAGTTCTTGTTTGCCAGCCTGTGTGCACAAATATCCACACAAAGACTGGGAGATGGGCGAGGAGGATGGGGATTGCTGCAGAAGTCTTCCTGATTGACAGTTGCAGATCAAAAACTCTGCATTTATGATGAAAAGCCTTAATTTCTTAAAAATGACCAACACTGAATGGCATCGTTCCTCCAAACTCAGCCACTGTTTCCTCTAATTACGGCTAAAGTAGAGGTAACAGTCACTGACATCTGGTGGTGAAGCTGGAGATGGTAACCCTCTCAAATCCAACTAGCACAAAGGGCCTCTATATCAGAAGCCTAAATGATCTGTAAACAAGCAAATGAACAAAAACCCTGTGTTCTTTATCATCTTGAGAAAGGTTTGTTTTTCTGCCTTTTTCCATCCTAAACTCAAACAAATTCACTCCTTTGAGGTGCAGATATCTCATTATCTGTCCTCGCATTGTGTTGAAAGTCTACTTCCCTTAATGGGTGTTATATGGCTGAGCTCCACTGAGTCTTTGTTCTTGTTCCACAGTGAACCTTCACAAGTCACTGGGTGTAATCTTGTGTTTTTGAGGATAATTGCTGACTGTTCTGCAGATTTAGACTTTTACATTTATCTCAGGGGCATGTTTAGCAGTATTATTTTATATTGAATTAAGATAATAAAAAAAAAATCTACCCACATTTAAGAACTGGAGACATTATACTTGCATATCATAAATTCAGTGATTTTCGATTCTTCTTAGTTGTATGTAAATCAAGCAGTTCAAATGAATAAAATGAGCAAAAAGTAAATTGTCTTTCTGCATCAAGTAGTTGACTGTACATAAACTCACAAATTTAGTTGCTTCAACAGAATCTAGTGTGGATTAGTTTAGTATAGCTGGGCCTCAATTAAACTACTTTTTGTTAAATACTTAACACACTATACATGTTCATTCAAGTGTAAACTAATCTATTTTACTTAATGTTGACAAAAAGTTAATTGAAAAAGAAGCCATGTGATGAAACTAAATTGGAGAATTGCTTTGAAATTCAATGCGGGATGCCATTTTATTTCACAATATTAAAAAGTATACAGTTATTCATTCACTCTGTGCTGTGCAGTGAATACCAGGATACAGTTTCTACAGAATTTATGTCAATCAAACTCCTCGTAATCTGGGACGAACACATTTATTACATTTCTTGCCTTTCGCATCAAACTAGTTTTATTTAGCCTTTTACAGCCACTGGCCATCACCACACTTTTCATTACACAATGCTAGCATATTTGAATGATTGTGTCAACTACATCAGACATGTTCCAACAATGAACTGTACACGTCAATGTCCAACGACACTTCAACAGTCACATAGTCCCATATCACTGCATTACAGTCACAGAAGCATCAAACTTAAATGCATAAAATATCACTTTGTCAGAAAGTTTAAAAGGTACCATTTAGATCCACTCAGAAAGACCTGTTGAGATGTGACCGTACCCTGAGAGAACAAAAGCGAGTCAGCGACACGTGAAAGAAAAAACAAATTTAAACAGGAAATGAAAACATATAAGTTGAAAAAACAATTGTCATAAAAAAATTAATTAAAATGCCTCTGTGGAATGCCGGGTACCCCAACTCATTAAATTACAGTTAATACAAGTATTCATGGGTTCCATATCTCGATAAAAATGTCCATTTCTATCATTTAGGTCTGTACAAATTATTCCTCTCCATCTTTCCCCTGTTCGGTGGAAAAAGAAACTGTAATGCTGCAAACTGCTAAAAGTCGACGCAAACGTGAACGATCGTGCAAGTTTGTAAAGAGATGAGGTAAAGGCGGAGCGCCGTTGTGTCCAAATGCAATGATGCAGACAGGGAGCTGAACTTTTCTCCAGTTCAGTCAAAGAGAGAAAGAATAAAGGTGTTTTCAACACTCACATGCACACAAATCCAAGAAATGAAGATTTACAAATAAAATGAATGGGGCAGTAATCCTGCCCTCTGAACTATTTAATCTAATATTTACTGAACTCAGGGAGGATTCATTTGATAGAAAGTTTATTAACTTTCAAAGCATCTCTTTTCTTATCAAAAGAATTACGATGTTAAGACAAGAGCATTCTGCTGTCTTTCAGGAATGTGCTAGAATCATATTTTAAAGGCAGCAGCCATTAACTAATGAAAAACTTAAATTAGCACAAAGACTGCAAGAATGGGGGGGGCACAGTAGAATCTGTGTGATGATGAGATTCACCAGCCAACTACTTTAAAACTTACCATTTGATAAGTTAAATCTTTTTGGTGCAGCTGCTTTTACTCGGTCTTTCTACAACCTAAAACGACAAGATATAACATTTTATGCTTTTTCCACTCATAATGCAAAGAGAAGATGGCAGGCTGCTGACTGAAGTAATTGAGAATGACGTTTACCTCCTCGTCTAACTTTCAGAGGGAAAATACGTTGTTTTTTTTTTAGCTAATGAGGGAAAGCCACTGTTAGCATTACACTTCAGAGTCAAATTAAACTTAAGGCATTTCAATCACCATAAAGAAGTCATTCTGGTTGGACTGACAACCAAACCCCCCCACATTTGCAAAGCTTTGCAAAAGATGTGAAAATCCGTGATTTTTTACTAAGCTAAAAACATAAGAAACGTTTCATACTGGTATTAAGAGAGATGAGTGAGGTGTGCAAAAGGTGTGGATGGCTCCACATGGAGCGCGCCATCAGACCATGTTGGTTTGAGTGTTCGGGCTGCGACTCTGCAGGTCCTGTATCTGATCCAGAACCCAGCTGACGTTGGGCCTTTCCTGGGGATTGGAGACCATTATAGAGCTCAGGAGCATCTGCAGGCCTTCTGAGTAACTGAGCAAAGGAGAAACAGACAAAAGATTTAGGGGACATCACGTGATGTAATTTGTATGCGACACCAGCGCCCGATGGTGGTGTCGACGTACCGGCCCAGTATTGGAGCTGGACCACGTCGGGGGGGGGGCATTCGTTAGGCTTTGACAATGTTAATGATCACAGAAAAAAATTGACATGGATGTTTGTTGTAGTGCTTTAAAAATAGGTGGGGTTTTTGTCAAGTCGTCCCTTTTATGTCTCTTGCAGTCATGTGACAATCGGCAACTGGCAGCTTGCCGTCAGCCCAACTCCTGAGTTCATGTGTGGGTGTTGGAAGGCAACAGGCCCTCCAGGAAATGCAGAAAAACCGCCTCAAGCCGAGCCGAGTAGGTTTCAGTTAAAAAACCACCACATGAAACCACCACATGAAAGTGAACTAGTGCTTTATATTCTACCTAAAGCTAATATAAGGCAATAGTAAAACAGTGCTTAGCTGAATCAAAAAAATCAATTCATAAGTTCTTTAATTGTAGCAAAACCAAACAGTACTTTTGTTACACTAAAAAGGAAAGCGGACTAGGTTGGACTCAACTGTACTGCAATGTAATCCATACTACTGACGGGCAACTAATGCAAAGGAATTTCCCAAGGAAAAAGGCTTTACTTGGTGGTAAAATGGAATAGTGAATGAATTTGGATTGAATGCGATAAAAGAAATCGACTCATTAAAGTTTAAGATTACAGCTCATACTGACCGGCAGGTTGGTGGGATAGTGACTGGGTTCTGGACAGCCAAAGCAACACTGTCCCCCTTCTGAAAGACCATGTCAAACGGCCCCTCCAACATCATCATGCAGTACAGCACACAACCCAGCGACTGGAGCATACCGGAAGAACAAACCCAATAGAAAAAGAAAAGAAACACGATATAGTCACATAACAAGCCAAAAATATTTCAGAGATATTGTATTCTGCTCAGAGAAAACAATACTGGGAACATGATGAAGCCAAGAGGGAAAAAGACTCCAGTGTTTTACCCAGATATCAGTACCCTCATCGATAATGCAGTGGCTCTCCACGTTAAAGAGCTCCGGGGCCCTGTAGGAAATGGTGCACCTCTGGGCTGCCCAGTCCTGAATGGTCATGGCTTCTCTGGATCCTCTAACCTGTAACACGGTCATGTGACACAGGCGTGTGACCAATTAAGAGTCCATATGAAATGACTTTGTTTGGCTGTCAGTGATGCTCACACACTTCACGGTTTCTGTTCTAAATCAAACATTCACACCTTAAAGAACACAAATATGTCAAATAATCTTTATGCACCATGAGGTGATGTATGTGCGCTGGAAAAAACACCATCAACGCAGCAAAAAATAATAATAATAAAGCACACCATTAAAGCAATGGCATGACCATATATTCTGTTTGAATACTAACCCCTAATAACAGAATTTGTGATAATTCTTCTTAATAGTTAGTTTTAAATGTTTACATTAGTAACATGTGATGAAAACAATCTGCTGTGCACCAAAAAATTACAGATGAGTCACACTTTAAAGATACAATGATATTAACCTATTCTGCCATCTAGAGGCGACAATTCACTCACAATTGTAAATAACTTGTCTGAGTTGCAATGGTTTCTATCTTTAAACTGGTTTACACAAAAATAGACAAAGCACTGGTGGTTGGAGAGATAGTCTAACCACGCTTTTACATTCAATGCTCAATTCAATGTAAAACCGAAGGCGGAAGGTAACCTAACGGTTAGTCAGGTAATCCAACTGTGGCTTTACTGTGTAACCAACTGCTTCCGTATTTCTAAAATCATACCATCTATTCATACAGCATGCTCCCTTACCTCAATTCTTGCACGGTTCATTGAGCCAAGATCCATCAGAACTGGTTTGTCATCTTCATCCAGGAGCACATTAGTTGGTTTCAGATCTCTATCAAATCAGAGCACATTTTAAGTGTTCAGATGTGGATTTCTTTATCACGTAGTGAAAGATGACAGTGAAAACTGAATTAATTTTAAATAAGAAAAAAAAACCCATACATGAATAATTCAGTACAAAAACTCCATATACTGCATTCTCAAACAGACCCACATTGAGCTCATTAATTGTAAATCTACCCACACCTACATGAATAGTTACCTGTGTGCATAGCCTTTTTCATGGATGGTCTTCAATCCAGAGCAGATCCCGCGAAAAATGTGCAAAATCATTTTTTCTGGCATCGAGCTCCCCTTGTCTCTCAACTTCTCCAGAACGGACCACAGACTTCCTTTCTGTTCGCACACACAGCTGATTCAGAATTTGAGAAACGTCTCGTCAGACTGACCTGATCCTGCTAACACTTACTCTAACATACGGCAGGAGCAGCCAGGCTTCGGTCTTGCCTCCGTGATCAACAAAAGCGTACGCAACCAGGCTCAAGATGTTGGGATGGTTGAACATCTGATGCATTTCCACTTCTGTCTGAGCTTCTTGGCGACCCTCACGGTCATGGCAGAGGATCCTCTTTAGGGCATAGAAGTGGCCATCTTTGGCCCCCTCTACCAGGTCAACATAACTGAACCCACTGAACAGAGGGCACAGAGAGGAACATAGTTTGGAAGCGGCATCCAAAAGCAAAGTCAGATATTATAGGATAAGAGTACCGGTAGTAATTTTCTATATTTTTAAGTGTTCAGGATATTAAAACCCCCCAAAAAGAAATATTAACAAATAAATAATGAAAGCAACTTTCCTTTTAGTGATTTATTTAAATATATTACAGATATAAACCATTACTACAATTATCCATAAAGACATAAATTAACAGAATTAAAATATATCATGCGAGCATGTCCTCTTACCCTTCGTCTAGTTTCTGAACAAAGTAATATTTTTTGTTGTCAATAGTGATGGAGCCACGGGAGCAAATGCACAGGGACTGTCCCATCTTGACTGGTACATCGTTTAACCAACAACTATAAAGGACCTACAAGAAAAAAAACAAAAAACAGTTACCGTCTCAAACGCTAGACGCAGACAGTAAAATGCGAAATGTTCGCCCAGTCCATCTTCAAATGGCAAAAGACAGACATATATACGTATATGTATACGTATATATGTCTTTGGCAAAAGAGAAAGTTAGCTAACACAGCACATCAACACAGCAGTGGTGGCTAGTCTAGGAAACTAAGATGTTAGACAACCACTCAAAAACATATTTAAGGCTAGTGGATAACTTAAACACCAGTCGGCAGGTTATCGTAATCAATTAACTGACATTATAACTAGTTGCGTTATGTCTTTATTCTTACCGGCTCTCTTTTCACAAAGTTAGCTTGCTGCCATTATTATGCTTTCTTCTTCTTCTCTTGTAAAATGCACAGCTTCTTCGGCACACAGCGCTTGAAGAAGATAAGCGGCCTGAATCAGTATTGTTCTGACGAGGGATGATGGCGGATAACAAGCATAAAAGCACAAGTTGCACCGACGATGGAGGTTATATTTATGCTGTTTAACTCTCTAGAATATATTAAAAAACAGACATGTAGAGTTTGTAATTAATGGGCAACCCTTGGCGTCGGTTAAGGCTTAACGTTCAGCGAACTTTTATCAGATAGTTATTGCTAGCTTGAGTAAGCTAACGAGCATGCATGTTAACGTTACCTGCGTAGCTTCAAGCGAAAGTGCCCTGTAGATATATTTAACGTAACAACGTTATATCGCCGATATTTGCTTTTGTATATGGGTTTTCAAAACAGTCGGCGAACCTGGCGTTAGCTTTGCAATGTGATAAACAGCTAACCTAGCTAGCAAATGCTAAAGCGTCATGAATTCTGTAACGTTTCACTTGTGGAAAAAAGCGTTGTTATGGCGTACACTTTAAGCTCAGACTGTCCACAAGTGAACTTAGCTATCCAAGTGGTATGAGGAGAGTTTATTTTATCTTTTAATTACCTTTAATTGTTGACGTCTAGCCAAACAGGTAAAAAAAAGTGATAGCTTTTATCATACCAGATTCTCTAAAACAGTTGTTCACCTTGGTGAGTTGTCTTGCCTCAAGCAGGGCCGCAGGAGGAGGGAGACAGTGTGAAAACTAAGCCTGTCTCTTGTAGCACTGTGGGAGGACATGGGACAGCTTTTAAACGCACATCTAAGAATCTCACTGCCGAAGACGAAGACGAGTCCTCAGCTGAGCCACCAGCACCTCGCAAAGTCTCCAAAATAGGCCTCAACATCAGCAGTAAGGTGGCCATTAAGTCGAACCCCATATCCATCAAATTGGGAGCAGCAGTAAGTGTGAAGTAACCAATATGATCCTCTTACCAATGCTTTGTATATTTGGGTGTATTGCTTTTACATGCACTCTCCTCAGAGGCAAAATCTTTGTGTATTGAACATGCTGTTTGAATATTGTCCTCATTGTAAGTGATTTTGAGCCTAACGGTAGCCATAAATGGATTTATGTTACTGGTTAACCATTGGTGATTATGATTATTTGAAACTTGTGATCTAAAACAGTGTGAATTGATGCACCGTGGCCTCTTTTGGGCATATTTGTTTATTGATCTATGCATGCATCCCTGGCTTATACTAGAAACCCAAAGAGCCTGCGCCAACACTTCCTCCAAAGCGGCAGGGGCTGGCAGCTGTTTTTGATGATGATGATGTAAGTGCGTACGGTACACAGCAATGTCACGGTTATCCAAATGTGCAGCGATAGATAACGCTGACTGTAGCTTCATCTTGATTTATAGAGTGAACCTGAGGAGATGCCACCAGAAGCAAAGATGAGGATGAAGAACATTGGCAGGTATTTGTATTTACAAGATACACCTTCTAATGATTTGCTCTGCCTCAGTATTTTTCAGTGCTTCACCTAATATTTTGTGATTTTTTTTTTAGCATGACTTTGTGGTGATTAACTTCCATTTGTTATTCAGGGAGACGCCTACATCTGCAGGACCTAATTCCTTCAACAAGGGGAAGCAGGGCTTCTCTGATCATCAAAAACTTTGGGAGAGGAAGCTGAAGTCCCAAACAGATGACGAGTAAATGACTTACATAGGTTTTTGTCACTAATTGATCATTTTGTACATGCTAACCATGTTAGATGTCTGTAAAGGCTGTAATGTTTCCTTCCTGTAGCCTTTCTGTAACCTTTTACAACGTATCACCTTTGTGGAAAGTCAATGAAGAGTTTTTCTGCCTACAGTGGTTGTGACTGAACTTGTTTACGTTTCTAACAGCTGGTGGTTGATCTTAACCAAGAGGAGTGAATGTCAGTCCCATCTGTTTGGGAGGCATGGATTGGTGATAGATAAGTGACAAAATAGTAATATAATTGTATGTTACATCTGCTACGGCTGCTTTCTGCGAGCTAATTAGGAGAAGTTCTCATTTTACATCCCTTGCGCAGTTTTTTTTATTTCATTTTTTTGAACAGCCTTTTTCCTAACTGACACCTTAAATGTAGGTCCTTAGCAAGTCTGTTGTTTGTCTGTTTGTGTATAAATGTAAATAGAGTGTGGAGTTTTTTTTATCTTTTAAATCCACATATTGACGTGTGAGTTTGAGTGTTATGGAAACATGAACGTCTTGCAGAGCAAATTAGGTTACTTGTACATTGTGCATTTTGTTTGTGTTGGTTTCTCAGAGTCATTGTGAATCCCTTTGTTTTCACCATCTGTGCCACCTCAGAAACAATCTGCTCTTTGATTTTAAATTCTTAGTTAGATTAGTCAAAGCGTAACACCAGTAGTTATGGGTTTGAAACACTATTGACTTCCTCACTAAATTCCCAGTCTTGCCGTAGGTATGGTATTGTTCTTTTTTGATCTCATCAGTCATTGTCTCTTTAGTTGTTAACTCTGTTTAAATTGGAATCATCTAGCAAAGACATACTGGTATCTTTCGGGTAACTATTGTAAATATCCACTTTGATCGAAATACATGTTTGCTACAAGCTCTTTTTAAGGTTGCTTTGGTATCAGAAATATAGATTTTGTCTTTAATTTGGTCTCAAAAGCTTTCCTCATTCACTTCTCCTGCGCCGGAAACACTTTTAGAAATTCTACTTAACCAAAATCTAGAATTTGAATCCCTGTGAGCCACCTACTTTTTGTGCAGACATCCCCAAATAAATTCTATCAATATTAACTGGCACAACCTGTCTAAGTCAAAGTTCTGTTTCAAATTCTGTCTAATAGTTTGTAAATCTCAAATGTTTGTTGAAGACTTGTCAGCTGTAACCGAATGCATGATGAACCACTGATGGGCAGCCATATAAAGACTAATGAATTGTTTATCGTGCCAATGTTTGTGTCAATCCACCGAATGCTCAAAATGTTCAGTTAAAGGGCATTTGATGGTTTTATCCTGTTCAACAGACAGGGCACAGAAATGGAAGAGTGCAAATGCAAAAGTTCCCTGATTCTTACAGGTGATTCAGAGGGTGATTCACTCTTCCCCGCATTGGAAAGGTGCACATTGTGATTGTGAAACTGCCATAATTGACTTTCATACGATTCATTGTACGACTGAGTTTTTAAAAAATGTATATTTTATATTATTTTACATACATAATGTAATTTCATTGGCACTGCGTGGGTGACACCAGTCCGATCCTGTGATCAGGCATGCTTTTCCTCAAAGAGGTCCAGAAGCTGCTGGTGGCTGCGGAAGACTTGTGCGGGCTCCAGGTGAGACTTGGAAGAACCTTCAAGGCCCTTTGAACCAATTCTAGCGAGGCGTGTGGCAGATTGAGGGATGAAGGATGTCCATCGGTCCATATTAAAAGAAGTTTTAGAGCAGACTTTTGCAGCAAAGCCTAAAGAAATGGAAGAAATGACACAATTGTTGGAGGGAAATAATTTGATTTTAACTAACATGAGCTCTAGTTGAAGCCAAGTCAACTTTCAAGGGTGGCAAATGTTATGAAATGGATCTGAACCACAGTGTGAAATTAACATTGAGTGTGAATTGTGATACTTTCAAGGGAAATTAGGCACAGTTTACTTTTAAGTTTTTTAGAGGAAAAAAAGCTGGTTAAGAGCAGAGAAAAAGAAAAAAATTAAAGACGGTGTTTGGTATTAAAGTAAATGCCATTTGTGAACACATTAGACCATTTCATGGAAAATATAATCAACATATCTTCCTTGCAAATTAGAACATGAGAGTTCTGATTTGATATGAAGGTGAAACTGATATTTTACAGGTATAAATTGAGTTTTTTTGGAACAGCGGTAGAATAAATCTTGCAATTCTGAGCATTCATAGATTTAAAATCTGTTCACTGTACAAATAATTGTAATGCAGTCACAATCTGTCAATCTGAGTAAATTAAATTCAAAATTGGCTCATTTATTTTGTGTGAAACCCAGTCAAATTCAAAATTGGTTCATTTATTTTGCGGATGTGAAACCCAGCAGAGGCCTTTAAAGGCCTAATTTTAGTGGACTTCACTTTCAGTCGTCCGTGTTGTCCACCTGACATAATGAACATTAAAAACTCCAAATCCTAAAGGGAGCATGTCATTCCCCTCTGTTTCCGGGCTTACCTGGACTCCTGATTCCAGTACAAACACGGCGTCGTTGTTGGCTAGATAGTCAGCTGACAGGACACAGAGAAGCATTTGGCTTCTCTTTATTGTCAGAATCACATCATTTGCATAAGCTACAAGGACAAAACAAAAAAAAAAACTAAATCAAACATTTTTGTCGGCAGCACACGGACACACACAAAAATATTCCTCTGACCTCCTCCGGGAAGGACGTCCCTCTCTATGAGACAGAGGCGATACCCCCACTGCTCCTCTAACACCTGGGCCAGCTGCACCTCCAGAGGTACGTTTGAAAGATGCGCTAACAGAGAAGTTGGCGGAGAGCTGATTCAGGCAGTATATGTACAGATTACATCCAGACTATACGCATGTAGGCCCATACCTTCCTCACAGTCCTGAGCTCCTGTCCTGGAGGAGAGGGCCAGTCCTCCTGCTGATGGAGGGCTCAGCACGTAGGACAGAAACACATCAAACTCTTTTTCCTCTGGTAGACGATGGAGAGGGGGGGGCGAAAGGCACGAAAACATGGGATAATTAACCGACTTTTGAAAGTAGTTAAACTGAAAACGTTTGTGGCACCTCCGGTTTTTCGAAGCGTGCTTCTGTTTTCTGACCTCCGTCGTCTTTTCCGTATGGGAAGTGGGATCTCCAGATGATTTGTAATTCCAGCCTCTTCGTGTGGAAGATGACGCCCAGCCCTGCTACCACCGCAAAGGACGCGAGGGGGTACCCGACAAGTGACGGCCATATAACTAAAAACAGACCAAAACAAACTTTAAGACCGTCATATTGAATATGTGCACAGAAACAATGAGACATCTTCCTCAGTGTCCCAGGGAGGAAGCAAACAGAAGCTTTGGACAAACAGAAGCTCAAACACATTTATCAGCTCTTCAAAAGCAAGTGGTGACTCCAGATCCATTCACGCTGAGCTACTTCTTTCTCACTTAAACATAGTTTTAATCAGCTGTAAAACAATGATATTACATTTAGCCATAATATCTGACAACAGACAGTCGTGATGAAGGTTTCTGTACAGATCTTTTACTGGCTACTATTGGCCTTACTCAATCACTTTGTCTTTTTTTTTTTTTAATGAAGAAATTTTCTCTTTTCAAGTTAACAAAATGTATGTGGAAAATGTTATACGTGTTATAAACACAGGCTCTAGCTGCCTGTGAGTACGAAGACTGGCTGTGTGGTAGCTCCATATCACAATAAATAAACCAACCACATCAGGTAGTTTGTCTGCTACCTGCCGCACAGTGTTAAAAAACCTTTACTCTGCGGACTTTACTGTCGATTTCCATTATAATTAGAATTTCTGTTTTCCCCTGTTTCTACACAAAGGGCTGTTTGATTTGATCATCATTGTGAAACGGCGGCATACCAAATGATTATGGTGGCAAAGGAAAGTATACCTTTTGTTTTCCTTTGAAGTGTGATTGTGACAGTGCTGTTTCCCACTCTGTTACCGGCGACACACGTATACGTGTGGTTCAGGTGTTGCAGAGTCACTTCTTCTATGGTGGCTTTTCGTGTGACTTTAATCTGTTTTAGACTGACTCGCGTCTGTCTGAATGACAGAGGGAGAGTTACCTGTTTTGCATCATAAAAACACACATCTCATTCCAAAAACAACAAAAAAAACAATCTGCAAAACACAGTAATGAGCGCCTGTGTTGACTCACCTGAGCGTCTCCATGTCCAGCAGAGTCCTGTTCTTGATGCTGCCGCCATAATTCATGAACCAGAGCACTCTTGGTGAGAAGTCGATTTCGAAATCAAAAAATGCCTCACATGTCAGATTGTGGGGCCGATCTGACACAAATGAAAACAGTCGTGAGACGTAAGCCCGATAAAGGGCTGTAAATACAGAAGTGTTATAACATAGTCTTTACAGACATTTGGTCTGTGAATCAGTGGAATGATACTTAAACATCTTAAAGAGATATTACACAGCCTATCATGTCAAGCTAGGGCAAACTGAGACAAGGAATGAAAAACTGTTGCAGTCTCATCAGTATTTGGCGCAATCGAATGGACTCACCAAGTTCTACCTCCTCTGTCAGGTTGGCAGCAGGACTCCTGATTTCTGGAGCAGAATTAGCTTTAAGACGTGCTGTGTGGTTGTGAGAAACAAGGCCACATTTAACTTAGAGCACAGACCAATCAGAGATGAGTTGCGTCAATGACATGACCACGTCGCAATGGTAGAAATAAACAGTTTGTTTGAATAGATATGTTTAACATGCAAACACAATGTTAAGGGATCTCATCAGACAACATTTTAAGACAATAATTAAGAAGCTGGTGTGTGATCAAAAAGCACATTCCAGATTTGTCTGAATCGTGTAAGTTCAGACCTGGTGACCTGTCCAGGATGACACCTGGGATAGGCTTCCATCCCCCACCACACTACTTGGAAAAAGTAGTGTGGAACATAAATGGATGGATGTAAGTTCACATTTTAGTTCGATCAGAAAAAAGAAAAGACAAATGAGTTTTACCACACTGCTGAACATTTGTGGGTTGAAATCATCTATGAAATACTCGCTTTTCATTAAGTCGTGACACTGTAAGTGACACAGTACAGGAGCAGACAAGCTAAACATTTTATGACCAACTAAAGCAATTCTCCTACTCTTGAGAAAAATAAGTTACGAATTCAATTCTGAGACAGATATTGGGAATATTACAATTAAAATCACCCCTGCTTGCTGCAGTAATAAAGTGTTAGAATAATTGTCCAAAAGTTATCATGCATTCTCATATATAATAGTGTGTGTATGTAAATGTTGAACTATGCTTGTGTGATAGCAATACATTTCTATCATAAGTACAAGTTGGTTTGCAGGTATGAGAAGCTGACCCAGCAGTGACCCTTGTGGCTGCTGACCCAGTGGTGACCACTGGTGTCTGCTGACCCAGTGGTGATCCTTGTGACCACAGTCCTCTTTGGCCGCGTGAAACAGAGGAACAACTGCACTTTGTTTTACTGTCAAACCAGTTGCATCTCGTGATTAAGAACAATGTATAATCAATCATGTGTGCTTCTTCTGTCTTTCGAGAAGATGAAGTCACAAGATGTGGTAGGAACCAAATAAAAGGAGAGGAGAGCAGCGAAAGAGCTCAGAGTAGGTTGGAGATTGTAGAGTCTCAGCTGCTCTCCTTGCAAGTATTCACCGTACTTACTGTGTCTGTGTCTATTTTGGTCCTCTTACAGCAGCGAATTGAGAAGTGTTTAGGGGCATAACCCTAACATAAAGATAAACTTTTCAATGATAAATGATAAAACTAAGGAGGTATAGACACATTTTCAGCTCTTAAAGAAGTGGGTGTGAATGTGTTATTTCCCATTGCCTACAAATGACTTTTTGAGACTTCAGATAAAATTAAGAGGACCTATCTTTAAGTGGAAACCACAGGCAAGCCACAAGAGCCCAGATTCCATGTTCCTCATGTGCTGTGATTATTTCTCATTGTGTTATTTTTGGTCTTTTTGTCCCTCTAACATATCTTTTACTGCAGTGATGTCACACGATACAGCAGCTGGGTGCTAGCTTTTAAAAAAAAAAGTTGTGAATCTCAGGGATTTCCACAAAAAGACATAGTTTCACTGGAAACGACGCACCCTGAGCAACCCACGCAGAAAGTGAACCGGATGCCTGGTGATTTTGGGGTTTAAAGGATGTCAACATTGAGCTGGAAATATCTGTCAAACTAATCAGCTCCTCCCATCAAACTTTCACATTGTGGTTATACTTCAATCACACACTTCATCAGATAAAATAATCCTGTGGCAGAAGATGTAATATCAAACATAAGGCCTGTTTTAGTCAAGAATATATAGACGTCCTCTGTGGGAATCAGGACAAACGGGAGGGAGAATGAGATGCTCCCTGGGCCATGAAAGTAAAGACCATCCATTCGAGCACAACACTTACGTATGACTGTGACAGTTACAGACCTCCTAAAGGTCCACGTGACTTCTTCCTCAATTATTCTTCTATCACAGAAATATACACCAGAATCAGGTTCCCAGACTGTGCAGAGTTCTAACCGGCCGTCCCTTTGACAGAATTGTCGCTTCTGCTTTGAGAAAGCCGTGTTTCCCTGTGATAAAAAGACAAAACAAAAACAAAATGTATGAGGTTTTTGCGGCTCTTTCCTCTCAGGAACGCCATCGCAAGCGAGATGCCGGTCCTCACCTTGAACCAAACTGTGCCCGTGTTGTCGCTGCAGGCGAGGCCGGGGCAGGAGATGTTCCCGCCAGCATTCACGTGCAGCAGCACGCTGCTCTCGTTCGGCCAAAAGCATCCCAGGCTGAGTTTGTCCACCACGCGCAGAGTTACGACCGACTCGGTGCCCCTAAACAGCAGGACCCAGAACGTTGGTCGAGATTCATCAAGCGGCATGGTTTTATGGTCCGTAAACAGTTTGATGGTTTCAGCGACTCTTAGAAATTTGGGATAATAACAGTGTGCAGTTGCATTTGTCATATGTCCCAGAGGGGCGTACAGGACGCTGTAAGGAAGACTCACCATTTAAAGACTGTCAATGACAGTAATATTTATTTTTTATCTAACTGTTAGCAATTAGTTTCCTAACAGAACAAACATCCCCACACCGACTTTTGGGTTGTACCTTATATATAGCCTATATATAACCTCATATAAAGTTGCCTTCATAGGAACGAACGGGACATATCAGATAAAGCGTTGCTTACCCATGAAGGATTCTGTGCTGCCCAGAATGCTTTCTTTCAGCAAGAAACTCCTTCCCACAGGGAACCGACGGGCCTTCATTTGCCTCTGCCCCTCCTTCGGTCCTGGATCTACCAAGCGTGCGATTACCCGGAGTCTTGTCAGAAGATCCGAGGCATGGTATCATGAAGATTTCCCCTTCCACAGCTTTGTAGTTCTGATGGGTATGCTGCTGAAAAACTACACAAACAAAATTTGCAGACAACTTAAGAGTCACATTCATGTTTGATTGTTTTTTTTTTTTACTCTAACGCACAAATTCTATTTACGGTTACATGTGCGTCGCCTTTGAGTCCTTAAACATTGTAGGAAAAGGTTTGGCAGCTAGAGTTGTGAAATATAACTCATGTATGAATAAAATACCTGCATTTTTCTTTTGGTGACTTTGTTCACAGCATCCGTGCGAGAAAGCGGGTGCGATAAAACACAACAGAACAATTCCAGGTTGCATAGTGTCTCACCAAAGCCTCAAGAGCTGGTTGTTGGTGCTGCTTACGGAGGTGATAAAATCAGCCTGTGCCTCTCAGCATTTCCACTAATATTTGCTAACATTTTCAGAACCAGAGTTCTCGGTATTCGCCCCTTTTTGTTGTTAATGTTTTAACCCCAGTTGGTAAAACTTGAGGTTGAACATTTTCACACGACGAAGTAGTCGTACATGGGTGTTTCCTGTTTGCTTGAGTATGAGCCTGACACCAGTGGAAGATAGTCTTTCTGGCCACTTCCTACACACACTAAGATATTCACGCAGTGAACTGTATAGTACTTTTTATAGTAGAAAAATTAAACTGATCCAGTATGGTGCGGTTTTTTTTATCTTTGAACATCCACATGAAACAAATATTGTTGTGCACTTGGATCAATTAAAATATTAATTTATTCCACTAAAGTACGTCCACTTGATTTAAACAGGAATTTTACATACAATGTGTTGTACCAGATCCAGACGTTGCACCCTGAAAAGATGGCCAGGAAGAAGCTTTAACTATAACTGTTTTTAGAATGTCCCATATGGTCAAGATTACTGAGGCTATTTATGTTTATATATAATAGACAACAACTTGACATGGAACTGTGAGATGTTCAGTCAGATATGGGCCAAATACTCAATTTGAAATTTATACGTCTACGTTTGAATCTTTATGAAATCAAATATGTAGCTTAAAAGTTACTCTTGAGCTGTTTCCTTCTTGATTCTCAGACACACAGAGGTATTTTTATTTCGGGCTCATTTGGAGCCACTTGGTGAAACGCTTGTGTTTGGTTTGCGGCTCGTCAGTGGTTAATGGAGCACAGCAGCAAAGTGGGTTTCTCAGGAAAGGGCCCAGCCACAGGAAACACTTCAGCATGCAGAAACAAAGGACTGTCTCCAAAACATTTTATGTACGATTTAGAGAGCAAATGAGTGAAATGAACAGTATACAGACATCCGAAATTCATCCCAAATTCAAGAGACACTGAGCCGCACATCTGCCACCTTCATGAATCTGCTGATTATGACAGTAACACCACTTTGATAGAACAACTTTATCAGAGAAAAAGTTTCAAGAAATATATTATAAATCTCTCTGCTGTTGGAGCCGTTTCTGCCTCTGGGACGAAGCCGTCTGCATCCAGGACGTCTGACTCCTGAAGCCTCAGACCTCACAGCAGATCAGGGGGTTGCTCAGGGACCAGAAACTCATCAAGAGACCTCTGAGCTCCTCCCCCTGATGATGTCACAGCCTCTGATGACGTCACAGCCTCTCAGTGATGATGTCACAGCCTCTGATGACGTCACAGCCTATGATGACGTCAGCCTCTAAATGGAGATGTCACAGCCTGTGATGATGATGTCACCGCCTGTGTTGATGTCACAGGTGGAAAAGAGCCAGGACCAAGATTGGATCCGGCCTCAGTTGGAGGGAACCAAGATACGACCTGTGAGAGAAAAGAAAGAACCAATCAGCAACAACACACCAGGTCTTTTAAAAAACGGTCTGAATTGAACCAAACTGGTCTGGAGTAGTTTTAAGTGGTTAAACTGGTCTGCGTTAAAGGGGTCTAAACTGATCTTGGACAGGGTCTGACCTCGGGCCTTCCTCTTGTAGTACATGAAACCAGCCAGAGATAAAACCAGACCCAGGATCAGTCCAGAGGCTCCGATGGCGACTTTGTTTCTGTCTGAGTCCGTAAGGGAGGGATCTGAGGACAGACAGGTGAGAGAGACGGGTGAGAGAGACAGACAGACAGACAAACAGGTGAGACACACAGGTGAGAGACAGGTGAGAGAAACAGGTGAGACAGATGGGTGAGGCAGACAGACCGGTTCTTACCCCATTCAATGATCAGAGGCTCCTTCAGGCTGGCGTGTTCCACTTGACAGGAAATCTTTTCTCCATATCTGCAGACAAACATCAGGAAGAGGTCTGTGATCTGGACTGGACCCTGAACTGGGTCAGGACCTGGACCCGAAAACTGGGTCAGACTGGACCTGGAACCTGGACCTACAACTTGGCTGGAACCTGGACCCGGAACAGAACCTGGACCTGTGTGATGGTCCTGGGCCCTGGCTCGGTCCCCCGCCCTGGTCCCCCCCTGGTCCTGGTCCTGGGAGGACTCACTTGGGCGTGTACTCCAGGTGGGAGTGCAGCTGGTAGTACCAGTCCCCGTCCTCCATCTCCTCGGTGGAGGTCACTTCAGCGGTCACCTCCCGTCCGTCCCTCAGCCAGGTCACCCTGATGGCTTTGGGGTAGAAGTCGTAGACGCTGCAGACCAGCATGTTGGGGTGGCGTCCAGCAGGGGGGGTGATGGAATACAGCCTGACAGTTGGCTCCACTGGAACAGAGAGGAGCAGGAGGAGGAGGAGGAAGAGGAGGAGGAGGAGGAGGAGGAGGAGGAGTGGAGAACAGAGACTCACCTGATTTATACAGAATATTGTCGTACTCAGTACGAACGTTGTGCAGGCAGTACATCTCCTTCTCTTCCCTCCATCGAGGCAACTCTCCAGGCAGGTTGTTCCAGAATTCTGCGTTCCTCACTCCGTATTCTGTGTATCCAACAAACCTCCCCAAACTGCTGCTGAACCGGTTTACTTCCAGCTTGTTGTAGTAATATGATAAGATGAACTCGATGTCCTTCATCTCAGTGGAGTTAAACACACAGCGAGACAGGTAGTAAAATTCAAATCCATCTGAGAGACAAAAAATTGATCAGAGTATTTATCAAAGTATAGACCGGATTATAGATCAGTGATCAGGTATTGATCGGGTACTGATCAGTTACTGATTGGGTATTGATCAGGTGTTGGTCCAACCTGCTGTGTGCAGGCTGAAGAGGAGCAGGCCGAGGCAGAGCAAGGATGACGCCATGTCTGTGATCCGAGGAGCTCTGAGCAACTGAGCCTGAGAGCTGTCCTTAAAGGCAGCAGTCCTCGGACATTCCCAGCATCACCTGTTACCAGGTAGAGCAGCCTGGCAGGAAGCTTCTGACATCACCAGCCTGGAGGAGTCTGGAGGAGAGGAGAGACCATTATTGATCAGTCTGATCGCTCCACTCTGACCTCCTAATAAATCAGCTTAAAGCAGAGGTCTTCAACAGGGGGTCCGCGACCCCTTAGGGGTCCGCAGAGGTACTGCATGGTGGTCACGAAGGTTTTGGTTGATTAGACTTTATTTTTATATGCCCCCTGCCTGCATTTTTGGCACTAACTGAAATGTCTTTAAATCCACATGAACATGAATTCAACAGACTGTAGTGTACAGATAGATGGAGGCAGAAGATGTCTTTCAGTCAAAGCTCACATTTAGCCACACACAGGAGCTCTTTCAAGCTGGGCACCGTTTCATTCACAACACCTGTCCCACCAACCAGCAACCAGAATCAGATGGTTACAATAAAAACAGGAATCTATGAAGCTGTGGATTATCTGAGGATCTTTGTACTGAATGCCCAATAACAAGGAACATTTACACATGGCACTATAGGACCAGTTTGATATGACACAATTTCAGACAATATTTATAATTAGGGGGTCCCCCTCCATCAGTCTGGGGGTCCTTGGCCTGGAAAACCTTGAAGACCCCTGGCATAAAGTGTTCTGACCCGTTTCTATTGAACAGGACGAAACTCCTCCAGACACCGACCCGGTTCAGCTGCTCGGAGGTCCAGAACCAGCCTGTTCTTCTCTTCCACAGCACTGCGTTTCCCATGATGCAATGCAGCCCCAGCTGCATGGGGCTTAAACTGGAATCAGTTCTGACCCAAACGGCCCCAGCAGAACTTCATTACTGCTGGAGATGACGCTCAGCCCTCAGCTTTGCAGGCAGCAGACCAACAGTTTGACTGTTCAAAACCTCGGAAAACAAAATGGACTCACTCAGAATCTGTTTCTCTGCTTTTATTTAAGCTTTGATCAGATTTTCTGTTTGTGAAAGAAAATAATAAATAAAATGAAATAAAGCATAATTTAAAAAACTGTGAAAAGGAGATATTAAAGGGGTGATGATATCACGGGCTCCGGCCAATTAGCTGCACTCGTTCCCTTTGATCAGGAAGAAGGTTCCAGCTGAGACCCCGAGCAGCCCCGCCATCAGCCCCACCCCACAGAACACAGCTGGACCCACAGCTGGCTGAGGGCCGGCCGCATCCACATCTGGAGACACAGCAGAGAGGGGGGGTCAACATCTGGGACCAGAGAGAGGGGGGGGGGCGGGGGTCAACCAAGAGCAGAGAGGGCTCTGGGTCCAGATGTCTCTGGTCTGGTCCTGGTCCTGGTTCTGGTCTGGTCCTGGCCCTGGTCCTGGTCTAGATGTCTCTGGTCTGGTCCTGGTCCCTCCCCTGGCCCTGGTCCTGGTCCCCCCCCGGACAGGTCCTGGTCCCCCCTCTAGTCCCCCCCCGGTCCTGGTCCTGGGGGAGTCTCACCCCAGATGCGGGTCATCTGCTGGCTCATAGCCAGATGTTCCACTGAGCAGCTGTAGACGTCCCCCTGCTGGGGGAGTATCGGCAGCCTGGAGATCTGGGTGAAGGTCCCATCCTTGTTGGGGAAGGGGGCATTGATGCTGGCCCCCTCGGTGAGGTTCTGGCCGTTCCTGGTCCAGTGAACCCGGACCGGGGCCGGGTAGAAACCCGAGACGTGGCAGATCAGGGTGTTGGGCTGCTCCAGCTCCACGTAATCCCTGATGTAGATGGTCAGGCTGGAAGGAGGATCTGAGAGACCAGCAGAGGTCACAGCTGGGTCTTACCCTAACCCCTGACCCACCCTAACCCTAACCCTAACCCTAACCCTAAACCCTAACCTTAACCCCCCCTAACCCTAACCCCTTACCTTAAACCCCCTAACTCTAACCCTCCTCCATCTCATGCTGCCCTATGGAGGTGTTCAGGCACTGTGGGAACAGTCAGGACTCCTTTTCAGAGAAGTTTGCTGTTTTCAGGCTTCTAGCTTTCTGTTTCTGGCTCTTAGGAACTTCCTTCTTTCAGTGTTCTGTCAGTAAAATCTCACATTTAAGCTGAAACAGACAAAGTTCTTTATTTCCTCTCAGCTTTAGGGTTGGGGTTGTTCCAGCTGTGGCCCTTCATCATGAGGACCGCTGACATGTTTCTGCTCAAACATCAAACTCTTAAAGTTTGTCATTACCTCGTTCTGGAGGGGGGGTCCTTCATGCCTTTATGAAAAACCTTCAGGTTTGCTCTGCAGGTCTTTTGATCAGCCTCAGCTGCTTCATAACCTCCTGGGTTATCACCCTGACTCATGAAAGGGGGGCAGAGGCTGGACTCCCTGCTTCATGATGAAGTCCCAGCTGTGGGCCTTCATCATAAGGAAAGCTGACAGTTTTCGGCTCAAACATCAAACTCTCAGAGTTTGTCTTTACCTCGTTCTAGAGGGGGGTCCTTCATTCCTTTACGAAATATCTTCAGGTTTATTCTGCAGGTCTGTTGATCATTCTCAGCTGCTTCGTAACCTCCCGGGTAATCACCCTCACTTATGAAAGGGGGCAGAGGCTGGACTCCCTGCTTCTTGGTGAAGTCAGCGTACCACCGCTCTTCACCATCCAGACCGTACATGAACTCTCCACCAGAGTCTGAACAGCCACTGACAGCAAGGTCCTCATGTAGGACTGGAACAGAGACACTGATCACTGACCTGCTGTGGTTTGATTGTTTGTTTGTTTGTTTGTTTGCCGGCTGTCAGTAAACAGAAACTCACCCTCAGCAGACGCTGTGAGGACGCAGCAGAGGAAGAGGAGCAGCTTCATCTTCTCCAGCTGAACTAGACTCCGACAGAAAGTCCAACAGCTGCTGCCTGTTACACACCCAGCAGCCAATCAGAGAGCAGAGTCACCAGCTTCCGGGTAGAGTCCCCAGCCAGCCAACAGCCAATCAGAGAGCAGAGTCACCAGTTTCCGAGTAGAGCAAAAGCAGTGATTTACGCATTTAATGCGTCCAGTCTTCAGCAGCCTTCATTTTAAATGTGTTTTAAATGTGTAAACACTTTAAATCCAGACGTTTCTGGTCATTTCCTCTTGGGGGGGTATTCTGCC